CCCCAGTATCCAGCTGTGGCCTCAGCATTGACAAAGAGAGTGCTAAGCAGAAGGTACCTCGTTACCAACACTGGACTCCACACCACAGCCTGCCTGCCTTCACCTTTTCACAGGACAGAAACACTTGTGCTCAGCTGGAAGCTCTCTGGGAGGGACCAGAATCCTGAAAAAGGATTCAGGATTTTACTTATATTTCTTGGTGTATGCCTGGGAAAAAAGGCCTGGAGCAAACATTACCTTAAACACCAGGCAGCTGCAAGATTACAGTGAATATCTATTTTCAGCCTCAAAGTCACTTCCCTCACCTGGGTCACTTTTATTCACAAATCTTTAAATACAAGATAGCTGAAAACCACCCTGCAGAAAAGATCTGTAACTTCAGGCACTTCAAGGTACAGCCAGCACAGGCATGTTGTTTTACTGAAAAGAAAATAAGAAAACCCTCAAATTTTCTTCTGTTTCTAGTTTATCCTTATGAGGTGCATCCTTGCTGGGCTCCTGAGCAGTGCCACAGAGCAGGGGGCTGCAACATAGAGTTAGGTGGCCACCAAAGAGGGACCGCAAGGCAGGAGGGAAAACTTCTGGGGCATGTTGTGAGGTCTGAAGTATGCATTTAGTGGGATTAAAAAGCAGCCAAGGCACTGACCAAAGTGGCAATCCTCTCCTGGCCAGCAGGGCATAGAGCCCACCATCCGCTGCTACATGAGGCCTCTGCAGCCTCTTCCTCCTTTCCATCCCCTCAGCACAAACTGCTTTTCTGCTAGATGAGGACACAACTTAAGGGTACAATTCCCCAGGAATTAGGTTACCAGTGAGAGCTACAGAGGTCCCTGCAGCTGAGCAGAAGCCGTGGTACATGCTGAGAATCCCCACTTCTCTCCATGATCCAGCTTAGGCCTTGAGCGAAGCAAATCCCTACAGTTCCCTGAATTAATGCCTGCTTCCACTGAGTAGAGCCCTTAGGAAAACCAAGCCAGCTTTGATGCAACAGTTGCTCGGGAAGATGAACCAAAGAAGATAGAACTTTTTGGAAAATGCACCAAAATAACCATGTTATTTTTGGTCTGAATCTACCGATTTCAGACAACCAGTTCCTGCTACAGGAGGATGGTTTAAAGATGCCAGTGCCAAAGCATGGCCCCTCTCCATGGGTTATAGATATGTCTTGGCTCCCTCCTCCTGGTCACCCTCCTGAGAAATGGTTTGAGTTTTTGGGCATCCCATGGCAAAACATGCTGAAGGACTCAGGGAAGCCCTTCTGTCACCCCAGGACACTTTTAGAGGATGGAAGGGGTTAGAGATGGCCACAAGCCCACCATAGCTGGATGTGCTGTGCATGCCCACTCTCAAGGAGCTGCACTTGTTCTGCAATGAGGCCTGATCCTCACAGGTCCTCCATGCTGGGCAGGTTAAAGCACAGGTCTGCCTGCTGCCAGCACGTGTGAGCATCCTCACTGCCTGAGCCTCTCCCGGTGTCTCCCTGCCCACTGCAGACACCCTGACACCAGGAGGTAACCAGATGGCACTGCCATGTGATGGGGACTTTCCACTCACAAATGTGGAGGAGACAAGGGAGAGGTGCTGGAACTGGTGACTTGTAAATTGCTAAGAGCAGAGATGGGTCTCTGCTGCAAGAGAGGGGCTGCAAAGCCATCCTGCACCAGAGCTGCTGGAGGGAGGGGGCTCTACCTGTTCTGATGTTTCTGCAGCCAGAAGCAGTGCTGCAAAATCACCTCAGAAAGAAACCAGGGCCAAGATGACAGTGCAGCCCTGCTCCCTGCCACGCCCTGCAACACTGCCAGTGCCTGGCTTGGCTCTCCTGCTTGTGGGCACTCTCCCTGCCTACTCCTGGGCTCTGCACCATCCAGCAGGGCAGAGGGCCAGGGTGGCTGTGCCATGGGACAGCAGTGAGCATGGCAGGCAGGGGACAAGCCTACACAGGGCAGCTCCCAGAGCTCTGCATGGTGACAGGGTGACAATGGGGGTCAGGCAGCAGGGGAAAAGGTGGTGGGGCAGGGGTTGCAGGGGTCCCTACACACACAGAGCCTTTGGAATTACCCACACCCTGCTCCAGGCAGGGATAGTGCCGTCACCCTCACCAAGCCCTGCAGAGCCACATCCCCGCCAGCCCCAGCTCTGGAGTGAAGGTTTGAACGTGCCTGGCTTAGACTCCTTTTGCCTCCTGTCTCAAGCAGCAGAAACACCCCCATACCACGTAGGCTCAGCACCGCAGTGTCCCTGCCCAGCACCAGGCAGGGGATGACACTGGAACCACCGCGACCCCACAAAGGCACGCTGCTCGTCCGAATGCCCCCGCAGAGGTGCAAACAGCCCCAAGGGCACTGCTGCAGGGCAAGGAAGGCAGTGCTGGGCTGCACCCAGAGCGGGGGTCGGGATCCTCAGGTCTGCCGCATGTCACAGGAGCGTCTCTTGTGTCACCCCCCGCCCTTCCCACTGCTTCAGCACAGCACAGGCCTCAACTGGGGGGGTGTTCTGGGGGGCCCCGGGGTAATCACTCTCCGGGAGCCCAGGAAGAGGATCCTTGGAGCCCTGTCTAGCATCAGCAGGGCCCGCAGAGAGCCCTGCCGGGGTCGGCTGCACGGAGACCCGCGGTGCCTGAGCTTTGTCTGGGCGCCGGAGGCCGGGCGGCCGCCGAGCCGCGGGGACAGCGGCAGGAACAGGGAGCAGAGCGGGGCTGGCGGCACCGCCTCCGAGCCGCGGGGCTCTGCCGGGCAGCGCCCCGCCCGAGCCCGCAGCGGCGGCGAGAGGCTGCGGCGACCCGCGGGGACGCTGCCCTGCGGCGGGGACACCGGGCACCGGAGGGCACAGCCGCGGCCACGGACCGAAGGGGACCGGGGAGCGCCGGGTCCCGCTGCCGGCGGGGCGGGGAGGACTCTTACCCAGCCTGCCGAAGGGAAGCCGGTTCCTCTCGCCCAGCATCAGGTTGAAGCGGGGGTTGTCCCTGCGGAGGCGCCGCCACTGCCCGCTGGCCAGCAGCAGCCGACTGACCTCGGTGTACACGCTGCTGCCCTCGTCCCGCACCACGAAGGTGTACATGGCGGCGGGCGGGGGAAGGGGCTCCCCGCCTACCCCCGGCGGCTCACGGGGCCCTGCCGCAGCCCAGGCAGGGCCCTGCGCGGCCGCCGCCGCCCGGGCCGGCTCCGCATGGCCGGGGCCGCCGCCCCCGCTCACCGCCCGAGGGCCTGCCCAGGCGGGGACTGACCCGGAACCAGAACCGCCCTCCTGATCCTGCTCCTGCTCCCGATCCCGATCCCGATCCCGATCCGACTCCTGCTCCTGCTCCTCCCCGCCCCGTTACGCCCTGCAACCGCCGGGGGCGGGGCCATAAGGCCGTTGGGGGCCGGGCCAGCGTGTGCCCTGTGTGACACCGGCCGCGATCTGTCACCGGCCGGGGTCTGTCACCGACCCCAGTGCTCCCCGGTGTGACACGGGCCGGGGTCTGTCACCGGCCGGGATCTGTCACCGGCCGGGGTTTTGTCACCGGCCGGGATCTGTCACCGACCCCACTGCTCCCCGGTGTGACACGGGCTGGGGTCTGTCACCGGCCCCGCCGCTCCCCGGTGTGACCGGTGTGACACCGGCCAGGGTGTCCCCTGTCACCCAGCACAGTTTTGGTGCCTGCAATCTCTGTGCCCTTCCGGTGCTCAAGGCCTCTGGGGGATGCTCGCCCCCAGCTGTGGGTGTCGGTGCTGTGTATGAGTCCCAGGGTTGCAGCTCAGCTCTGAGTCTGAAGATCTCCTCCTTCCTAACCCATTTGACTCTTCCAATCACCTCTTCTCCTATGTTACTACCTAATTCGATCTTTAAGGTTATGGAAAGGTCGTCTTGTTTGTAACCATCACTTCTGTCTTCCTCACAAACAAACCTGCAGCAGACCAAAGATATCTCACAAATTCAAAGCCTAGAAGTCAGATTTCCTCCCCAGCACAGATCTGGTTTGTCTTAACAAACCTATAAATAATGAAAATTCTGAGGTTTTGAGTTGGTTAATGTTCTGTTTTTCCTATAGACACTGTATGAGTAATGACATCAGCAACTCTAGCTGGTTGCTATAAATCAGGATATATTTCCAAGAAATAAAGAACATTTTGCTGAAGGAAACACAGATAGGTCATGATCTGCACATTGTCGTTTCTTTTTTTGACAGCACAAGGTAAGGTGTTAAGTGACTCATGGATGGATGGAAAAAATTAAGTTAAAAAATAGCTGCTGTCATAGCAGCTAAAAAAAAATTATCCAGGCAGCTTATTTCTACTAGGAGGTGCTCTTGGACCTGGCATTGGATGTGCCTCTGCATCTGTTTTCAGATTCATCCTCAGTATGTGTTCTCTTCACAGTGTTGTGTGTGGTTTAGCTTAAAACACCTCACAGCCCATGGAATCACAGAGCACCTGGGACTCAGATCCTGAAGCCACTCCCTTTTCCCACTTTGGGTATGTGCTATTTATCAGGATTCCAAAATTATAGGTAATTCCAATTTATAGATAATTTGGTGGCTCATCTCTGTTGTTTGCATAATCAAGTGCAAGAGGCAAAGATATTCCATAAAGTTAAGATCAATGTGTTAGACCAATATGCAGAATGAAGTCCTATAATGGACTACTCAATATTCCATGAGAAGTTTCTTGTAGCAAGGTGGATTTTGGGTTTGGGGTTTGGAATTTGTACTTGTTTTTTGGGTTTTTTTTTTTGTTTTGTTTTTGTTTTTTTTTTCTGGGTTTCATTTGGTTTGTTTTGGTTTTGGTTTTGTTTTCCTACAGCTCAAAGTATAATTCTTGCATACACACTAGATTTAAATGCAAAAACTTTCTTCTTCTTTGTGTATGTAGGAAAAATGCTTGCAGTTAACCCATTCTCAGTGGGACTGCTGCAAGTACTTTTTTCTGGCTTTGAGCCTCAGTGTGAAGACTGTCCACACCTTTTCTAAATACAAGAAATATTTGTAGCTACAGTTTATGGTTTAAAATAAACCATAAATTACCACCCAGTTGGATTTATTAGAGCTTATTTGGGTTTGCATGATTCACATCCAGTATTTTTCTTGCTGCATTGTTTCTCGAGGTGCATGAACCAATGGACTGTAGTTTCTGGAAGGCTGTGCACAGATCTGAAAGGTCCACATCCAACAAGGCCAAAGACTGAAAAAGCTTAGCACAAGGTACCTTTATTTCCACACCCTGTTAGACCTGAGCATCCTTGGTGCTGGCCACACTACAGCGTGAGTTAGCTCCTGCCAGCTGGTGTCCTGATCTGCCTCCTTCCTCCAGGGTCCTCAGTTCCACTTCCCTTGGGAGTGAGATTGGTGGGCAGCAAAGGCTCTTTCCCTGGCAGATCAGAGCATGGCTCAAGTTTGTGTAGCCCTACACGGTGGCTGTCTCACGGGGTTCCTCACTTCAGGAGAGCCTGTAGTGGCACGCCCTCGGGCGCGCTGGCTTCTGGCGGCACTTTTACTCTGGAAGGAAAAAAATCATGTTTGGACTGATGGACAGGAAAGCGGGAAGGCCAACAGCCCCACTGGGTTGTCCCTTCTTCCCCTGCCACCCACAGATGAGGAATTGCAGGCAGCAGAGAGGGATGTCCCCTCTCCTCATCAGAAGCTACGTGCAGGGCGTGGGGCAGGATGGAGGTGACTCACTGTGGCTTCTCGATGTCCTCGATGCCCTCAGGAAGGCGCACGTTGAGCGTCTCCGGGAGCAGGAAGGCCACAGCACCGCTGCACACCGCGACACTGCAGTAGGTCACCTCGGGCAGGGACCGCCACACCTTGTCCAGCAGGAACACCAGCGGGGCCAGGGCCGCTCCCAGGCGTGCCATGAAGGAGGTGTACCCCATCCCATTCTGCCTGGAAAGGTGCATACCACCATGGGAAAGAGAGGGCTACTTGTGTCATGTCAGACCTCTGCCCTTTTCCCCTCAATTTTATCTGAGTGCTGAGGATTTCCCCCCCCCCCCGGCTTTTCCCTCTGCCATTTTTTCTTTTCTTTCTTCATATCTTCCTAAAATCATCCTATTTCCTAGAGATCAACTGTAGCTGCTGTGAGAAATAGAATTATGTCTATTATGAAAAAGAAGCTGCAGTTCCACACTAAGAATACCTGCTCTAAAGCTGTTTCCACTTTAAATGTCTAAAACCCAGACAGCATTTTCTAATAGTAAGACTAGTGAGTTTTCCAACCTGCTTAGAGCAAATCAAAGTTCCTCCTTCTCCCAGGTACTTCAGAGGGCATACACTAGAGATACCTGTGAGCATTTTTGGTCCAAGGAAGGAGACCTTGGAGAGGAGACCAGAAATAAGACCTAATTTTGAGGGGATGGGTGGTATTTCACACTCATGACAAGCATCTCAGGACCTGCTTGTGCATATATGGAACAAATACTGCAGAAGGAATCAACAATTTTGTCTTTGTCAATGTCTTTGAGATACAAATTGATCTGGGATAAGAAGTAGCAGATCAGTGTGACCACTTTGGTTTAAATGTGAATCATTCCCTGCACACAACAGACCCTTGAAAGCTAAAGGACTAAATGACAGAGGAGGGTACTCTGGGCAGGAAGGGACAGAAGTGAAGTAAGCCACAAGGTCTGCTGTGATTCATGAGGGTTTTTTCAGACTTGCACAAAGAAATCAGTGAAGTGATTCCCTCCACCAGACTTAGCTATATCCCCACATATGCAAGTGCTAAGTCTGATGTTATGTTACCATTACCCAGGTGTGTCAAATAAGCTCCATGTTTCCTCCTGAAAGTCTGGTTAATCCCTGCTTTAATATCATCCAATGTCTAAAATACTCTCAAACACGTGGTAGTATGTGTCCCTTGTAAAACTTGGTATTTCAAGTTATTATTTTCAGGTCCTTTTAACAGTGCCTGACAGATTATGACAGGGAACGAAGACTTTACTAAACACAGGTGCTTTATGGAGTGCAAAGATCTTCCCACACAGAATACTCCTCACCTTTCCATTCATCTTCCTGTCAACACAACCAAACCACCCACAACCCAGGTGAAAAAAGGGTGGCTTTCTGCATCTCTCTTGTGAGTATATAGAATCCCTGGAACCTGCTAGTTCCGGAGGCAAGGGGCCAGTGCCACAGCATAGTCACCAGCACATCCTACTGTGCTGATGGCCCAGGCCTGAGGGCAGCACTGCAGCCAGGCCCTGGGGGTGTGCTCAGGTGGGTGGCATCTCTTACCTCAGAATGGTGGGGTAGAGCTCCGAGGTGTACAGGAAGACAGTGGTGAAGGCAGCTTCTGAGAAACCTTTGCCCACAGTGGCCACTACTGAACGTAGGGAAGTGAAGGCTGGGGGAAAGAAAAGGCATTTATGACAATGAGCTACCTGTAGGAAGAAACTTCCAGGTGTAAGAAGGGAGAAGGTTCAGTCCTCCCACACATAAAACAGGGAGCTTCATAGCCCTGGAATTACTGTCTCCAAAGGCTGTGTCTGTAGGTTTAGTATGTATTAGCCCAAGTGGGAGCTGATGACAGGATAGGTCCTGACAGTTCCCATTGGACAAAGTCTATAATTAAAATAGGCAGTGTGCATTGCAATTGCTGGACCCTTTAGCAGTCACTTGACAGTGACTGGAAACAATCTGCTGTGACCGACATTAGGGTTAGCCCACATTAGTGACCTTGTCTCATGGACACCCTTCATGTGGAGGATTTCTGTACACAGAATTGCCTGTGGACATATCCACAGCTCTCCTTCTCCAGCACTGCACAAAATGAACTCCTTCCCCCTTTAGCAGAAGAGCCTCTCACACTTGGGAATGGCGATGTTGGCTCCTATGCAGACTCCGGCCAGGATGAGTGTCCATGCCTGGCTCTGCCGCCGGCCAACTCGGTTCACCACCACGTACATGGCTATCTTGGCTGGAATCTCGATGATGCCAAAGACAAACTGGGAGACGTAGACGCTGAGCCCAAAGCCAGTCAGGTTCATGCTCATGCCGTAATAAGAGAAGGCAACACCAAACCTGCAAAGAGCGGGTGGAGATGGGACTGAGGGAAATCCCTCTGGGAACTGCAGGATGAATTCCCTCCCTCCTCCATGGAGTGACACTGCTTACCACACCACACCAGAACACAGAGAGATCTTCCTCAGGACTGGGGTCCTGAACAAGCTGATGCAGGAGTAACTCCCTCCCATATTTTTGTCTGTTGCCATCCTTGTGAGGGCCTGGCAGAGATGGAAAGAAAGAAATTGCTCAGCTGCTGTACTGTTAGGATGTGGACCCCAGACAGGCTGGGGACTTTGACCTTCCCAGCTTCAGATCCACCTTGGATTTTCTATACATTCCCTTTGCAGAACCGTTCTCTGAGCATACATTTTCAGAGGCGTGCCTTCCTACAACTTTACACATTGCCTACTATTTTAGACCTCTTTTTCTTCTCATGGTTTCTTCTTCCCTCTCACCTACATGCCCCATGTAGCAAAGAGGTCTGTAGAGAAATGGCAGATGGAAAAGTCAGCATTGGCCAGTTCCACCCTCTTCCCCATGTGGCTGCCTGCTGTTGTATGAAAAACTCGCAATGAACTTCATGCTTTATTCTTAGGAGTGCATTCATTTAAAGAGTAATTACTTATCCATCTACTTACATAAATACAGAATACCTAAAAAGTCAAGCACTCAGAAGAAGTGCTTCTTCACTGCTTGTGAAGAAGAAGAGACTACTTGTCCAAAAAGCTTTTTCGCAATTGATTGAGGAGTAAGTACCAGCAGAGTTAATAAGTTCTACTCACTGTGTATTTACTCCAGTGTCCAGTCCACTGAGGCCTCTTGCCATGGCAAAAACATGTGGAAAGACACTCCACCTAATGGACAGGATTTCTGGCCTTATGGGAGCTGAGCTGGTGCTTTATCTTTAGGAGTGAATTTCTGTTTTCTAGAGAAAAATGCTCACAGTGCCCCATAGAACCCGCTGCAGGGTAAGCATTGCTCCAGGTATCAAACAAGTAAACAGAGACAGACAAAGTGGGAAAGGAAGAACTTGTGTCTGGATCTCCAGCTCCTTACCTCCGGTGAGACAGCAAAGTCTTTCCTTCCATTCATTCTTGCACATGTGAGCAGGTGCCTGTGGGCTTGCTTCACTTTGCCCTTGGCTATGAGCCACCGGGCAGACTCTGGGACCCACCTGCAGGTGCAAGGAGAGGAGAGTGTTCCTGTTGGAGCTGCCTGTTTTCCACCCCATATCCATGGTTCTGGCATCTTCTCCATGAGGCTTCCACCTCAGCTAAATATAACAACTGTGGACCATGGGAAGTGTAGTGGAGCACCTTTTTGACAGGTACAGGCTCTTCCAAAGGCTGAAGTTTCAAACTCTTACCAATTAAAACTGGCCCCAGGGAGTTTTTATTTAAACATTTGTGCTTTCTGGGACTCTTTAAATGTTGAAATTGTCAGCTATTAAAAACCACAATATAGAAAGGATTCAGTGAGCTCTATACATGCTTTGTTACTTGCTAAAATGATTTGGTTTTCACAATAATCAAAGCCTTCTGCACATTGGAGTCTCTCACTTGAATGGTCTGAGACCAGATCCCTACAATAAATTTTTGTGATTCATGTGCCCTAAATCAGATCACAGTAAAACTAATGAGCAACTGTTGTCACTATTCAAGCAGGAATTGAAAAGTATGTGTAGAGCAAAAATGTTTGGAGAAAATGTTTGGTCTTGTTTAAATTTTTCATCTCCTTCCAACAGGCTTACAACATTGGGAAATATAAAGAAGGAAAGATGGCATTTTGTACTCATTGCCACTGTCTCTAGAGAGTAATACCATGTCTTTTGGCTGTCTCATGTCTCCACTGAGTTCTGACATTGTGTCAATAATATCTACTGTGTGCTAAATTAGATTTTAATTCCATACTTCAGAGACTTTCAATTTTCTGCAATCACTGACCTTATGGGTGCTTGAAGACTAGAGTGTAATTTGTTGGAGAACTAATCTCCATAAAAGATAGTAACATAAGAAGAAAAATCAAACAGTTATGATGAAAAGGGTGGGTCCAAATGCATCTGTGAATTTCAGACTTCCAAGGACTCAGTTTTTTACAGCTGGTTGCCCTAGAAAGAGAGCAAAACAACTTGAACTAAATAAGTCAGCAGGACATATATTTTAATTGTGTTGGACTTGATCAGTGAAATACCAGAAGTTAATCTTTAGACTGTCAATGAATCAACTCTATATTCTAATTTGTATTACTACAGGGGATAAAAACAGGATGGAAAAATTAAAGTTTCTTTGATTAAATGAACCATCTCCCATTTTAAGGCTTAGGAGATGTCAGGTATTCTTAAATAAGGCTACAGGAGAGAAATTGCCCATAGAAAGCAAGTGTATTTGGCCCATCAGGATGGTTACATACCTGAGAAAAGTCTTGGGAAGTGCAGACATAAATGAATTTGACTTAGCCTGAAGGTGTCAGTAGCTTTCATGGAAAATGTGGTGCCAAAAGTATCCTTCCCAGTGAGGTGAGGACAGAGAATGGATAAATATTTTATCTTGAGTTTACCAACAATTAAAGCCTGGATCTGGTTGAGTGTTCCTTTACTGGAATATCTTTTCTTTACTCTGAGCCATGTGTGACAGAGCTGGCAGCACCAAATCCTGCTTCCACCTGTCATCCTAATGCCTCAGCCTCATTCCTGCCTCCTCCTTGTCCCCAGAACTGTGACATAACCTTGGCTCCTGGCTTTGCTGGAGAGGCAAAACCCAGGCCACTCCAGTTTTCCAGAGCTGCCACACTTGGGCAATCCAGGTACAGGAGACAGATGAGTTCTACTCGTCCTGAGGCTGCCGAGCGATTCCTAGGATCCACAGAGGAGGCAAATCCCAGTGTGCTCCCTTTCTGGTGGCTGCACTCACCACAGGCAGATGATGCTCAGGAGACAAGGTCCTGTCACGGCCACCAGCAGCCAGTGCCATTCCCGCACCAAGTACGCTGCCAGGGCCAGCAGCATGTTCCCAACGCTCCAGAAGATGCTGATCAGGATCCCGGTGAAGGTGCGGTGCTGGACATCCACCCACTCCATCCCTGGAAGAGGGAGGCAGCATCCAGCTGGGACATGCAGGACTTCTCCAGGAAGGAGGGCCTGCAGGGCTTTTTAACAAGGGCAAAGCGAGGGAACAACCCTGGTCTTCTCCTTCACAAAGTTTCACTGTTTGGCTGATATTTGGAATATTTAAAATATTCAGCCAGTACTTAAGCTGTTGCAAAGCTGTTAGCCACTAAAATAAAACTTTAGGAAAAGAAATACTGGACATGTGTTAAGGAACCGTGCTAAAACCACTCGTAGTGATAGAGATTTTTTTAAATCTCATTCAATAGCATTCACTTGGTCTTCTTCATCAACCAGTTTTTTCCCCCTAACCATCTTGCCTGCACAGTTTCCCATTTCTCTGTCCACTCATTATTTCAGATTAAAGAAATATATTGAGAAGAATTGTTGTTCACATGCTCCACCCAGAGCAGACAGTAGCAAAAGTGTAAAGCCAGATGGGGGTCTCCTTGTTTGTGTGTGTGAACTAAAAGCCAGTTTTCCTCCGAAGTCTGGACATCTTACTACAACATCTAACAATCAGAAATGCCCCTCCCAAGCTCTACTATGACTTGCAGGAATCAACCTTCATAGCAGTAAACAAACACAGCAGGCCTTGGGATTTGTCTTTTGTGGGCTTTTCCAGCACTGAGGCCATTTCAGCTTGGTTTTGACTAGATCTGCAAAAATCCTGGAAATTTCTGCTGCAACTGTTAATTGTTCTTGGGTACAACACTTTTTGCCCAGGATGTCTCAACTGTATTTACAAAATTATCCAGTGGTTTACTGGATATCCTGAAATCTGGAGCTTGTTTTTATTAAGTAATTACCTTAATTCTTCAGCTTCAGTTTTGCCTAGCTCTGTGCGATTTTTGAAAATTTTTTGGTAGTTCTTCTCATTTTAAAATCCAGATTTGCACCTTAGGAAAACTATAAGCAAACTCGAAACTGGGGAAGTAGAAATACCCTGTACATGACACACCATCATCTTGTGCTGAGGACAGGGCAATGCTGCTGAATTGTCCTAACAGTGTGTTCTTGAAAGGTGAGAACTTTGTACGAGTGGAAAGGGGCAGAGACTTTGGAGTATGCCTTTTATTGTGTTCTGATGATACTTGACAGGAATTGGGCAGCCTGTTGGAACAGAAGTACTAACAAGTGGTTGTTGTATTTTGAGTAGACTGTTAAATATTAATTGGACTAACAGCAATTTGTGATTCTGGGATCTTTGCAAGAGGGAAATTGCACACGCAGCAATTTCCAGATCCCTGTTCCTTCCAAGTCCACCCTGCCTGGCAGACAAATCCCACCCCCTGCCTGCCAGGAGCCCCCCTGACAGCCACAGCCCCCACATACTCACCCAAAGGCAGGACAATCAGGGAGAGGCCACTCAGGGCCACCCCGGTGAGGGTCCGTGTGATGGCCAGCATTGTGTAGGACACGGAGGTAGCGCTCAGCATCCCAAAAACCATGGAGCACACCAGGGACAGCTGGAGCATGGATTTCCGTCCAAACCTGCCACGAGCAGAGGCTGGGTTACAGTGGCTGGAAACCTGTCACAGGAGCAGGGTTTGAAATAGGCAAACCAGAGATTTTAGAGGAAAATTTAAGGATGCAGCATCCTGGAGAGGAGTAAATGTCTCTGGATCAAGCTGGTGCCACAATGGTGCAATCCCATGCAGAGCCTGCCCCATAAACATTGGGAGTCTCCAGTGGAAAGACCAGCACTGCTCAGAACAACCAATCTGGCTCTCCTGGCCAACACCACAACCAAAAGCAGTGATGCCAGCTTGAAATCCCATGTTGCTGTTGCACCCTGCTCCCTCCAATGTCAATGTCCTTCTCCCGCGGCTTACTCAGGACTGGCCACTGCCACCATCTCAAGGAGGAGACAGAGCCATGACACTTTAACCCTGCTCCTTGGAGGAAAAATGAAGGAATTCAATTGTCTGCGCTCATGTGCAAACAGCCCTTAAATCCTAAGGGGTTTCTGAGGAGTCTGCCAGGATGTTGCTCCCCTGGGCTTTCCTTATCCCATTGTCCAGAGTCCTGTGTAGAGAGCGTGGAGAAATACAAAACATCAAATGCACACAAATGCAATATAAATGTATATAAACACACACACAGACACACACACAGACACACTCACACACACAGACACACTCACACACACAGACACACATTCACAGACACAGACACAGACACACACACACACGCTCTCACAGACAGAGAAATATGTCTGCACATATTTCTACACAACCTATGAAAATCTAAAAATCAAAATGGAGCAGAAGGTGTCAGTCTCCTGATGAACATCAGCACTGCTGCATGTTAGGAAAGCTTAGGCTCAAGCAGCAATAGTAGATTAAGCCTGCCAGCAGGTGATATTCAGCCCACAAGGACTGAAATCCTGCTCTGATCCTGGCATTAGGGCTCTCCCAGTGGCCACCTGAGAAGGATGGTGGCAGGAATGATTGCTCCAGGGGAAAAAGTGGCGTGCTAGGACATAATGACACAGTAGCATTCCCAAAAATAGTAAAAAATTACTTCATTCAGCAACTGATAAATGAATCTACTAGCAAAACCCCCCATCTTGTGGCTTGCATACAGGGAGTTTGCCAGATCTGCTTTGAAATTTAGGCTGAGATATTTTGTAAAAGACATCTTGATGCCCCTGGGTCAGAACAGGAAGCACCCAGAAACCCACCAGAGCTGAATCCAGTTTCCAATGGGTAACTGCCCAAGAAAGAAGATATATTTTGTAAATGAAGATTTTCCTGGAAAATACAGTAAGGAGGATATAAAACCATAATATTCCCTGCAGGAGGCAAGGCAGCTATTTAAGGAACCATTACTAGACTCTCAGCAAATGCACACTACTTGCTAGGAAAACCAGGACTGAGCTGTCAGGATTGAACTGCAGGATATAGGGAGGCTGCTAGAAATAATGCCATAAAAATTGTCTTCAAAAAGAGTGGTAGGAAAGCACAACCTCTGAAAGATTGTAAAAAATACAATAAAAGAAGCAGACTGCACAAGCATAAAAATTAATAAAAAAGCAATTTTCATTAAAAAAGAAAACAATCTGGAAGACTCTCAAAGCATAATTGAACCAATTCAGTACATGGACAAGGTACAAAAGGAGTCTTTGGAGGAGACAGACAATAACAGAAACAATATATATGTATTTTTGCATACATTTGTTCACAGTGAAGGTTTTTGGAGTGTTTACCTAGGTAAAATTAGTCAGTGGAGTAGTTTTCTAATCCAAATATGTGTAATGGCTTAGAAAAATACTGAACATGAACAGGAGGAAAATGCCAGATGATTTTCCCCCTGGAGCACCAGAGATGAAATCTCTGCCTCGCTGTTAGCACAAAGGAGTGGGATCTCATCTCTGCCAGAGAAGAGGAAGGTTGTTAATGGGAGGTCAAATTTAAAGGGATGATAGGGGAGATGTGGGGAGTGACATCTGAGGTTTAACCTAATGATTCTTAATTTTCCTCTAAGTTCCCTAACCACTACTCCTTGCTGTGTGGATGTTTGCCTAGAGCAAAATTGTGTTTAGCTGTATAATGCCAAAATCTTCCTACTGAGTAGCTGTGGTCAGCTTAGAGCTTCCATTTAAATGAGAGGTTTAAATTGTTTTTCTATTTTAGATTAATCTGCCCTGAAATTGTCTTCTGATTCTCTCATCCAGTCACAGAGTCCTTTAGCTCCTTCTGCAAAGTCTCCACACTCTGACCTCATCTCTGTCAGACTCAGCATCACCTCCTCGCTTGCTCCCTTCCCACATTATTTATAAATGCACAAAAATCCAAGCACAGGCTGCTCCCTTATCATAATGGAGTACTTACACCTCCTCTCTTCTTCCTGGCTTTTACTTATTTAGTCATGCTGAGACCTTCCTTCTTACCCTGGGACAGCTTTCTTAAAGAGTGTTTGACAAAGAGACTGAGATGGTGTCTCCTCTGCTGACATGTCTGTTAATTGATGCAAAGAAATCCTGTACATTTGTAAGACTTTTATATTTTGGAAAATTCTGGCTGATTCTTCCTCCCCCTGGGGCTCTGGCTCCACCTTTCAGAGGAGTTTCTGCCAATTTGCCTGGTGCAGACAGAGGTCAGGCAGCCTGGCACTCCTGAGATCTCATTTGGAGACCAGTTTAAAGCATTTCTATCCCCAAGATGGTGTAGGGTTCCAGGACAGCATTTCCTTGCTTCTGGCATTTAACTGGCATTCCTCTAGTGTATTTCTCTCTGCCTTCTTCTGTCAGCTTATTTCAAAGCTCCAGCACCTGCCTTTACACATTCTTCCACTGTGAGCACAGACTCATTTATGTCTCACACTACAGTCTTTTTATTTCCAGATGCTCCTTTTATGCCTTGATCCTCTGCTGGCTCCTCCACCTCACAATCCATTTGTGAAACAAATTACTTTTCATTTTGTGCTACCTTGTGTTATCTTATTTTCTGCCATATTTTGTCCTGTTCCTTTTCTCAATTCTGAATTTCTCTCCCTCCAGCTGTGCTATAAAACTATTGTAGATACAAAGCCAAGGCACACAGTTTGAAAATCATGCAGCTGTCTTGAGTCCTTGTACAAGTATACACATGTACCCATGGGTAAAGATATGGATGTAAAAATTCCCATCTGCAGCACTAAAGTCTCTGGGTCCTTCACACTTCAGGCTCCCCTCTGCAGTGATTTTGCAGCTTGCTGTACTCTAATTCCTTCCAGAGGGGGGAAATCAGGAAGCAGTTTCCCAATAATGAATAGTGTACAGGGAATAGCACATCCCAACTGCATGCCTGGACTCTCTGTCCTCTGATGGGCTTCCTGGTTTTGCTGTTGACCAAAATATTTAGTTTCTTATCTGATGCCCTTTCTAGATTATTACTTGGATTTATTTTTCAGGTTTATATTGTCACATCCCAGCATTTAACGAGAGAGAGCAGATTTGTTTGCTTTTTTCATTGCTTCAGCTCTTCCTTGAGGAATAAATACCTCCCTGCTTGAAAAAAAATCTCCTTTGCCCCAATTCTCTAGGAATGACAGAGTCAGATTTTGCTTGCTGGAGACTCTTTTGAGCTATGGCAAGCATTTGCTCTGGGCCTCTCACTTGGGTGTCATTAGCCAGTTTGTGTATAATTTGCAAGGAGTTAACTCTTTTAGCCTTTTTGTTCAGCTTTGTATCAATCAGCTTACTCCATTTTTGGACTGAAACTGGTCTTGCAGACTGGATTTTTTTTGTTTGTTTTTTTATTGTTCCTGCAGCAATTGTGATCACAGTCAGCAGTACATCTGACTCCTAAGCAAGGCCAGAGCTGCTTCTCTGATCCGGGAAGCATTTTCTGGCTCGCTGATCCAGGATCCCTGCATGGCTTCCCACTATGGCTTGAATCCAATTTCCAAGTGAGAGGCTGGATTCTGCCTTTGCAATTGCCTTTTCTCCTTTCCCTGCCCCTCTGATCACCTATGGAAGGTCACATGTGTGTGGAATTCTTTCTGTGGAGCTGAGGCCCTGGAGGAGGAGCCTGGGAGGGGTCAAACCTGTCGGAAAGGTACCCGAACACCACGGCCCCAATCGTGACGCCGATGAAGAAGAAGGTTGCTGTTGCCTGGTTCAGCCCACGCTGCTCGCACACGAGGTCCCACTGAAACACAAGGCCAAAATGACACTTAGTGCCCAGCTCAGCCTCTGCTGCCTTCTCAGGCTCCTTCATTCCAGTGGTCAGACATTGTATCTTGAAATTTGTATCTGCTGAGTCTGATGGACGTTGGAATCCTGGACTGAACTGCCCATCAGACAGTGCCAGAGTCCTGGAAAATGGAAAGCTGCCACTTACAAAAGTCCCAGTTGATCAATCCCCACTGTGACAGCCTCTCTGTGAACACTTCATAGAATCACAGAATTGTAGAAGATGTTGAGTTGGAAGGGACCCATCAGGGTCATTGAGTCCAACTCCTGGACCTGCACAGGACACTCCAAAAGTCACCCCAAGTGCCTGAGATTGTTGTCCAAATGCTTCTGGAGCTCTGTCAGGCTGGTACTGTGACCACTGCCCTGGGGAGGCTGTTCCAGTGCCCAACCACCCTCTGGGTGAAAAACTTTTCTCTGGTATCCAAACTAAACCTCCCCTGACTCAACTTCAAGCCATTCCTGGTCATCACAGAGAAAAGATCCATGTCTGACCCTCCACTTACCCTTGTGGGGATGTTAAAGACCCCAATGAAGCCTGCCCTCAGTCTTCTCCAGACCAAGTGACCTCAGCCACTCCTCATATGGCTTCCTCTCCAGACCCTTCACCATCCTCGTGGCTCTCCTTTGAATGCTCTCCAATAGCTGAATGTCTCTTTTATACTGTGGTGCCCAAAACTGCCCCGAGGACTTGAGGTGAGGCTGCCCCAGTGCAGAGCAGAGCAGGACAATCCTCTCCTTTGACTGGTTGGCGATGCACCTGATGCACCCCAGGACATGGTTGGGCATCAGAAGACTTTCCTGGGTACCATGCATGGAGAGTTCCCCATTTTCTTCTCCCGACCTCTGCAAGACCTGCTCAGGTGCAAATCTCCTCCAGCTCCCTCTGTTGTGCCCCTGAGACTGCCATGGTGAGCTGGGCATTGGCAGGGTGCCCACTGCAGTGCTCTGCCACACCCCTCAGCCAACACTGGGGAATGTTGTGATGATAACCAGTTCCTCTTGCCCTGACCAGTTTCCTTGGAAGTTGTCTGTGCAGGGAAGCAGGAGGGCAGAGGGAAGTAAGGTCAAATACTTACTCCTAATACTAACCTATTGATTTCTTACTGAAGAGTTGGTTTGGAAATCCATCCTAATTAAGTTAATGAACATAATTTTACTTTCTTGGAAGTACAAATAATCATCAATCTCTGCAGAAGGCTGTGGTGAAGCCTCTGAGTTAATTTTCTCTGTGTGCAAATGTGGCAAAATTTAATCATCGAACCAGACTTGCAGCCTCTCTGATGAGGCCAGCTAGACCTTGAGCAACCTTTCCTGCTACAAAAGCAGAATTCCAGAGAAAGCCCTGGTCCCTTGAACAGGTCCCAAGGCTGCTGGCCCATGGGAGCAGCATCACGAGACTCCATGCTGCCTTGTGTACCTCCCTCTACCCTTTCCCTCGGGACTGCTTCACATCTCTCTCCCCAGTTCAGTGTAGAAATGAGGTACAGAACCAGGGCACACATGACCCTCACCTCTGTGCCTGATGAAAGCAGGAGTGGTTGGGTGCTGGGAAGGAAACACCTGCTCTGGGCTAAGACTTGTCCCTGCTACCACTGAGACAATCAGCACTATCTTTCCAACCCAACTGTGCCCCTTTTGCCTGACCAAATTTCCCTTTCCCTGAGACCTTTTGTGATTTGGACTTTTCCCCAATGAAAGTAAAGCATTAACACCCAGAGGTATCACTGCTAGCCCTGGAAAAGTGTTTCAGAAGGTGGGTGGCTAATATTTGATGGTCAGGGACCTTTTGCAGGATCAAGGCTATGGCTGGTAATGAGCTTCATCTCAGTGGAAGACCCTCAGAGAGAACATTTAATTTGGCAGAGATATATTGGTGGTAGGAGAAGAGAGGCAGCACAACACTGGGGAGAAGAGAAGGAATGTGAAGATCAGTGAGGAGGGGTGGCCAAGGGAATAGAAGTTATAAAGTGTTTGGAAAACCAAGAAAGGATATCAAGAGCTCATGTGAAACCCTGACAAGATGCAATCCTGTGCAAATGCCATGTGGCCCACACAGAGAAAATCCTATATCTGTGTCTTTCCCCTGCCATCTCGCCCCCTCCCGAATCTCTCAAACATCTGGAGAAATTAACATTATTATAATGAGTAATGTTGGCATCAATCTAAGCAAGATGAGATGCTCACAAAAATAATATTAATAAATGTTAGCTCCTAATACTGAGCTTCAGAGAGCTTCCCCCTCCCAGGACATCTTCTCTGAAAAGTTCATGTCCACTGATTACAATGCACAGATTCCTCTGTCATTCTGTGCACTCAGCAAACACCTCTCCATCTTCTCCTCAACGCACAGAGCTAATTTCAATTTTGGCTGGATCACAGGCCAGGAATTACCTGGGTGGAGATGGTGGAGGTGAACTGCGAGCGGTCATAGACCCATCCATGCTGGCAGGGCTGGACGATGGATTTGTTTTCTGGTTGCAGAGAGGAGTTGAGCAGCAAGTGAAACTGAGGCTGTGAGAACATCTCACAGGAGCTGAAAGTGCCATCAGGCTTCCGAGGGATGCTGATGAGCAGAACTTCCTCCACGGTGAGATTCACAAATGCCTCTTGGTGTGGAATTGCACAGTGATGAGAGGGGGTAGCAGCAAGAAAATTGTGCAGCAGGAAATGCATGGGAAGGTTGATTCTTGTGAGGCAGAGGATAGACAAAATCAAAATCTGGAATCTGCCAAAGCCCCCAGTTTCCACCAAGAGATCCTCAAATTTCATCTTTCCTCTGGAGTTTGCTCATTCAGAGCAGCTATGTACCAAGAAGCAGCAACATGAGCCTGAAAAGCAGCCTCTGCTCTTGGAGTTTAACTTCCTGTGGCTTTTCATACAGCCACCTCTTTGGACTTTGAGACCTTGCTGCAAGGTGTCAAAAGTCACAGTGGAACTCTCCATTTAGGGTATAGCCAAAGAAATTATCCTGTGTGCCCGCAACACAACACTTTCAAATGGACCCGGCACAGGGCACCTGATTTTTTGGAGTCCTTTCCTCCTGCTGTGGTTTTGGAGAGGGACACCTACATTAGGAAGGGAGGCTGTGGGGACAGTACAGTGAGAGCACTCTCATTTCTCATGTGAAAGTCCTGCAGCAAACTCTGCCTGGTGTGAGCTGGTCACCAGCCAGACCCGCTGGACTGTGACAGAGGCCTCTGGAAGAGCGGGGGTGTCCCACTGTGTCAGGGCATCCAAGGACACCAAGCCTGGCTGCTGAGCACCAGCTCAGTGTTTTTTGATGTGGTTTGTGTCAAGCCATGCCCTTGGAGCAGGGAGTGTAGAGAGCCTGAGGGCTGCCTGGAAGGGAGAAGTGTCTCAGGGTGCAACAGGGAGTTGTGCCCTTTGGGGTGAAAAGGTGGGAGAGGGCCACCTGCTCACCTGTGACCTGCAAAGAATGGGAAAAATGAAAATGTTTCCCTACAAAGTCCTTTTCTCCAGCTGGAAAGGTGTTTTCCCAGGACAAAGGCAAGGAGTTGATGAGAGCTGCAGTGCTGACACAGAGAGGCTGCACCTGTCATGCTGGGGGCCGTGACATATCTGCAGGGTCCAGCCCTGTGCTGGTGTGCTCAGGGGACTGATGTGACAGCCAAAGGGGTGAATGTGCAACACCTGACAGGGCCACAGGTGCTGCTGCCTCCACTGCACAGACTGGGGATGAGAGTGGGGCAGTTACATTCAAAGCAGTGGGAGAAGGGGCTGACTCTTCCTGGGATCCCTGCAGGACCTTCACACCCTCCTCACACCTGGAGACAAGACATGAGCCTGCTTCCCTTGCAACAGGCACTCTGGGCAGACTGGGCCCAGGGGATAACACATCCCAAAAAGTTGTGTCCTAAGCTCAGGGGACAGAGCATCACTCAGCAAGCAGGGCCAGCAGCCTGCAAAGGCTACAAACTGAAGAAGTGCAGTAGTGGAGCTGCTGAGAGCTTGCTGTAAGTTATCTCCCACTGCATTTTCACCCTCTGTACCTCTCTCCTCACTGTCTGTGCCCTCCCTCCTCCACCAGCCCTGCACTCTTGGGTTTTGGTAGGTGCTGATGCATCATCTCCAGCCTTTCTCCAAGCTGTTTCCCTGGGACATGCTCTGCTTTAAAGCAGCTCCAGTTTGGCCATTCACCATGAATTAGCCATGCACCATGAAAACAGGGTCGTTTGGTGTAGGGATGCAGGCACAGCAAGAGTCTGGGCTCAGGGAATGTTGGAAGTGATGCTAACTGCCAGGAACTGCCTGTCTGCACTGTCTTGCCCTGCAGCCAAGGGCTGGGGACAAGGGGCTGCAGAGCAGCAGGAAGGGATGAGCAGATCCAAAAGAGCTTTTCACAGGGCCCTTGCTGTGGCTGATGGCCCAGACTATGTGTCGCCCAGACATTAAGTGCTGCGAGGGTACAGAGCAGAATAACACCATGATCTGTGACCTTAGGAGACCTTTTCCCTTTTCAGCAACATACCTGGCCACCCATGTTGCACTAATGTGCTGTCCCAGTGCCATGGTATGAGCCCTTTCAGTGCTCATCCCGGGACAGGCACAAAGGAAGCACACAGGAGTGAAGTAGGGACACCTGACAGTGCTGTGCCTCTAAGGTTACAGTTTAAGCTGAAGTTGAACTAAAGGACAAATTATTTTTTTCATCACCAGTCTTCTAAGAGCAAAGGAGAGAAACTCTAATTGAGTAATGCTGCTGAATAATTAAACTGCAAACAGATCCAGCCTCCCCATCAGAAATGAGATCACTGTTCTGCAGCTCCTGGGCTCTACTGCTCGTACTGCATTGCTTAAAATGTACATCGCTCTATTTCTTTAACCCAAATGTGCTCCTTTAACCAGTCACCAGCTTTAGTTAATGACCAACACATGTGCAAGGTCTGTGACTGGCTTGACTGAATTAACAACTTGGTTGATTAGACCTGGCTCAAACTGCTTGAACATTCCTGGTGAGAGCAGTCAGACTCCTCTGCTGCTGCTGTCACACATAATGCTGAAAGGAGGAGTTTGCTTTTTATTTCACACATGTAACACTTTCTTCTGCAATCTCTCTTTCTGCTCCTTTTCAGGATGCCAACTACATGTTGAGAGGGGTGGATTATTAAATTACTTGGTAACTAAGGTGTTAGCTCTTCTGTTTCTAGCAGTAATTTCCTATCACTTTCTCTGGAGCTGTAATAGCCTGGATGGTGCAAGAAGCAAAGGAGCTAATTTGCTCCTTTAGCAATTGGAGACACCCCTCAGGTGTCTCAGCTGCTGCAGAGTAGCTGGAGATCTGATCAGTGCTTGCAGGCTGGTGCTTAAATGATAATTTTCTCTGTTCTCTCCAAGTTACATCTAAATGCCATGAAAATCTGTGTCCATCAGAGCTGCTGAGCTGGACTGGCTGTTAGAGGGCAGAAGAGTCCCCTTCTCACTGCGGCTCAGTGCAGGCTCTGATGCCTGCAGGAGGGAGATGTGACACACAGAGGGAGGCTCCATTTTTTTCTCTATTTTGTAAAGGCAGTTTAGACAGGGAGATGCCACAGAGCTGGCACTGTCAGCTGAGGATTCCTGCAGTGTCAGTCTAAGGTGCACTGTGCTGCAGCAGCATGTCCAAACGGGCTTGGCAGGATGTGTGCACACCAGATTTTGTAGCTCACTCAGAGAAAGAGAAGGTGCAGCCAACAAAGAGGTCCTGGGGCTCCTGAAGGTCTTTGTTTGGTCATGGAAGAAAGGGAGATGATCCCATTCTGACTTGGTGCCACATTAACAAGACTCTGCTGTCCATTGCTTGCAGCTGTCTTGTGTGCAGCTGTTTTACTCAACTGCACGAGTGACAACTGTTTTATAAGTGGACTGGGTCTGGCCAAAGCTGCTTTTCTTACCTGTAAAAAATACAACGCTGATTCTTACCTTAGTGTGAAAGGACATGAGCCACTTCCATGTCTTCTGCTGTGTGTGATCATGGATCCACAGCCAGTACTCGTGTGCTCCCTGCTTCCCAAACAGGTCCCCCAGGCCTGTCTCATGCCCCTTCTTACCCCTTTCTCTATCTCATGGAACTAATTTAATGTAATTTTCCTCTAACTGGTGCTATTGGGAAACTGTAGCAGGGCAGAGATTCAGCCCAAATTATTTGGCTGCATTTTACAGAGGAAAGGGCAAATCCAAACTCCTCCTTCAGTCAGAGAAAGAAAGACACAGCAGGAATAGGAAGTCCAGACAGGATCACATGTTTTCAGGGATGAGATTCCATCTGATTATCCTCTCACTTAGACAAGATAATCCTGTGTGAATTAAAACATTGCCAGGGAACTCAAAACAAACCCACTGGTTCAGTAAGCAGCATGAGCTGGGAATGATGACCCAGGAGCTGGGAAGACTACAGGACCAGCCATGTCCACCTCAGCTGGGCACAGACCCAGAGTCTCTGCATGGCTGGCAGAGCCAGGGGTGGCACAGAGCCGATCAAGAGCCCCAGAGAGGATGAACCAGAATCAGAGTACCTCCAGAGAGCTTGGTGTGGAGCAGGAGACGGGCTGAAGACAAAGCAAGATCCATGCAGCACCCAGGGCAGGAGGAACACATCTGACACAGCTCAGATGGATGGGAGACACAGTCCTGAGCAGAAATGAAGTCCTGGGCCATAAGCAGAAGGTGCTTGGTGGCAGGTGCAGGACAGTAACAGCTATTAGTGCCCTTGGGGCCCTGAGTCCCTGAAGAGCCAGGGCTTTACATCAAAAGCTCAGGGAATGCTGCAGGGGGAGCTTGGAGCAGGCTTTAGCACTGGCTGGAAGAGTGTTTTTGGAAGGCCTGTGCAGACAGTAAATATGTGGGAGTGAAAATACACACAGTCACACACTTGCACTGACAGATGGGGAGATGGTGAGAGTGATTTGTAGGGAATTACTGAGTGGGTGAAGCAAGGCCCAGTGCTCACCTTGACAGTGTTTCTCTGCCAATGTGGCCATGTGCTTGTCAGGTCCCAACAGCTCCACCGCTCTATCCTGAATTTCCTCCCCTTCCCAATGGGTTTCTCCCCAGACGGAGTAAAGAAAAGCTGCATAGTGTCCAGGGAAGCTGCTTTCGCCATAGAGAACCCCACTTTCAGTGTTAGAACTTCTCTGTCTTCCTTCACTCATCACCTTCCTCTACTAATTATCTTGTTCCACCATGTTTCTCATTTAATCTAAGCATCTCCTAGCTCCTATCTTGGGTGACCAACATTTCAGTTTTGACTTTTCTGCCCTATGTTTGAATGGAGATCCTTTTTATTTTGCAGTTTCAGCAATACAGGAACTGACTCAGGCTTCCCCTGAATCAATAAGAAACTCACTCAATACTCCACCTCCAACATTAACAAGACACATGGCAAGGAGAGTAGGGCATCTGGTGTTACCTTCCAGATGGTCTTTTTGCCTCCAGCCTACTCCTTGTTTGAGGATGCAGCTTTTGTGACTACTCCTATGAGATGCACTGTCCCAATCTGGTTGCTTATTGACAGTTTTCAATTTACATTTATGCTTTGGGGTTAAAATTCCAATGTAATATTAGCAGTCTCTTCCAGCCTGAATTATCCTATGAGCCTATGGACATTACACCACAAGGTTTTGGGCTTGTTTAGCCTTTTATGTTAAATCTGAGGCTCTACCTCTGTTTCAAACATTAATTAGTGAATTTAAACAGCTGGAGTTAATGCATTATTTTATTTTGACATTTTTTGTACATGATGAAGTGTGGATGCCGTGAGTTTCTCATGGTCTCCAGATACTCTCTGCAACTCCAAGGAAGTTTTGACAGCTTCCTTGAAGCTACAGGCTTGAAGGACTTTTTCTCACTGGCACAAGAAAGGGTCCTTTGGGTCTAGCTGACTCCAGAGCCCCATGGCTTCTCCACGGCAGCCTCCCTCTGACATTAGAGAGAAGATGAACACAAGGTTGGGAATAACAAACATTTCCTTGCAGTGCAAGCTTCCACTGCACTGTTAAGGCACTCCTGTGGCCCGCCTTTTCTGCACTGGGGTTTTCTTGTCTTGAAATGCCTCAAGGTGATTGCAGAAGGAAGACCCCTGAGCCCAACAGTCTCTTTGGCTTTTCCAGATATAGCAAAATCTGCTCCAAGTAAAGATTCTGCCTCCTCCTGCAAACCTGTCTTTTCCTATTTTGTGAGGCTCTTCCAACATGAGCAGCCTGGTTTAGTTTCCTCCTCTACTGATCCTCTCACTTAACAAAGGCAGAGGCTGAAATCCAGCACATTGTTCCTGACAAACCTGCCTTCCAGAGAAACTCTCATTTTGCCATCCAGGGGTGGTGATGAAGCCCCTCTGGCAAACCCCCTGCTGGCAGCTGATCCATGCAGTTCTGAAACATTTCTCAATTTCCCAGTTTATGATGCTCGGCTTTAATTTGCATCTGCATCTTCCTGACATAGACTTTTAGGAGCTTTTATGTCCCAGTATTTATTTTTATAATTTTGGATTCTACACTGGAGTCAAATGTATTTTCTTTTGGCTATAGGAGAAAGAGTAAAATTTGTCATTACAGGAATATCTTTCCAAGGGACAAGGTTTTTTTTATTCTGTTACTACACACCCCTGGATGTGGTCTGCCCACCATAGGCACAGGGTAACTTGAGCACAGTAAAAGGAATGTTGTAAAAACTGTCCTCAGCTCAAACATCAGATGGTCAGAGAGTACTAAAAGTCAAACCATGCCAAGTTACTGGTTTGCTTTTGCTCCTCT